AAGCTAGTGGTCACCATGGCCGTCGCAGTAGGAACCGCACTCTTAGGCTCCAGATCGCACTTGTTTCCCACCAATAAGCGCAGCACCTTGGAATCTGCATAGCACTTGATTTCCTCCAGCCAGCTATGAACGCTATTGAAGGAGCTCTGAACAAATAAAAAGACATCGCAGTGAAAGAGTACAAAGATATCAGAACGCATTAAATTGACACAATCTTCAGACACTGGTGGATGAACGTCAAGGTACTAACGGTCTAACGACAGTCGAAACTAAAACGACAAATGTTCTATGGCAAAAAAGACAATACACTATCCAGTGTTTCGGCATGGTCGGTTTTAGACAATCAAGAAGCGGAGTCCACCCGGAACCATCAACTCTGAAATGTAGTCCAAAACCATAGTGAGTTTCGTTGGGACACGTTTCCCTCCTAGGGGTACCTTTGTGACCTCTTACGCGCCACGGACAAACTCATTATTTCACAAGCAGTATGTAGGATAGATAAATCCACAAACCAGAATAAGCAACCAAAGGACCCTAAGTTAAAGCCTCTAACCAGCCTGCATGTGTTGGCGTGTACGGAACATATTCAAGGGAGTCGAACACTGAACGGACGAACTAGCCAAGATCGGAAACTGGAACGGCCAATTCCAGTCAAATCGGGCCTGTGAGACGTTGATAAGCACGAGCACAGTACTCCTTAATGTCATTACGACGCAACGCTGGATTACTTCGCACTGATATCACCTCAACTGATGACGAAACGTTTGCAACCAGATTGCTAGGCCCAGCAAACAGGACACCAGCCGACTCATCTGACCTTGCCTCCTTTATACTGTGAATTTATCCGCCTGGAAAAGTTCCCATGTAAGATCTAACTATCCTATTCGAAAGACTTTCACCCTCTAATCACTCCTATTTTGTCCAGTCTGGAGTCAATGTCCACCGTGCACATCCTACGCATATTAGAAGACAACAGCCTCCTGGACGATCATTCGTACGAAACCGATGCCACTGCTCCACTAGCGCTAATATCACACTCAAGTTCACCTATCCTGGACCCGCCCAGCGAGACCAAATGCGTACCTCTGGATAACCCGAGCACACCACAATCACCTGACATGCTAAAGGGATGGACTACATTCTGATCTGACGAACAAAACCATCACATCACGTTCTCTCAAATGGCGGTATCCTTAGTCGATATCGTCAAAGTGGGCGCTCTAAGAGGATCTCTTTTTCACCCCGCATTGCTCTTCCTGTTTAACAACGGTCCCCCTCTGTTTCTGGTTACTAGACTGATTACCCATCCGAATAAATCTTCCCTTCTGAAAAAATCCAAACTGGTGCTCAAATGTGAATGTGATTCCAAGACCAGACTCCAGAAAGATTCGTTGTTTACCCTAGCTTAAGTATCCCCCAGCCAAATTCTACTGTACGGATCGCAGATATTTGAAGCGGTGCATCCCCTACATATTTTTCATTCCCAAAAAAACGACGAGAAGTTACAATCGTTCAACTAATGTTAGGACAAGCCCTCGGCTGAACTCCTGCCTTCCGTCCCACTCCCACCATCGTTCAGCCGTCCGACCCGTCTAAGCTCCACACCCATTTCAGGCTTCAGTCCTCCACTTTGAAACAGAACCATTTTCCTCACCACTTTCTCCCAGGAAAGCCCGTCTTTGATGCTCTTTTAAACTTGACCTTTGCACTTTGACGTTGCACTTGACTTTTGTCTTTGGAGCGCGCAAAGCTAGGATTGACGTTTATCTATCGAAACCTACATGATCCATGGCTGTGCTTTATTCGCACGTTAGGTTTATTTCGCCACTCCATGTTTTGAAGCGACTAGGAGAGTTCTGTGACCACTGATCCTTCTCAGTACGCAGTCTGCGTGGGATTTCCATACCTGGAAAGACCACTTGTGATCCATTAATCCTCCAAAACAAGCGATTAGACCAAACATCCATTTCAACATCGATCCACACACTAAACTGTTCGAAGTCCGGCCAGTCTACTCTAAGTGCTCTTAGATCAAAAAGCAGGATAACTATTACCCGATATGCCCGACGAACGTCCATAAACAAAGCCACTGCTCCCTCCCAACGTCAGTTCAATGATCCCTCGCATCTTATATCAAACACCATATGACAGCTGCTCAACGTTGAACACGCAGGTGCCACTCATTTGTTCGAACACACAAACGGGTCATTCAATTCATTCACTCATTCATTTATTCATTCATACACTTCTAATCTGCTGCCATATGGTAAAACATTACTCAATGTGCTGCTCCTAAAGGAGGTGTGGCACATTAAAAGCGGTATCAAACGACCAAGGAACAACATAAGACGGGAACCGTCAGCTGTATGTCAATCACCTTCAGAGTGACCCACAACATGATTGTGCCAGATCGTGTGAGTTTGTGTTACTGAAGCATGTCGCTTCGGTATTGCTGGTCTGTGAGCATTAAGGGATGTCTCTTCTGTGCATAGCTCTCTTACTCTACTTAAAATTTCTGAAATTGAACTGCATCGATTCCGGTCACTTTATTTCCGACTCAATTATCCACTTACCAAAAGGTCTGGTGATGGACTCTCGAATATCTTTGACTTCGGTCAGTAAGTACATGGAAGCCTCTGAACAGAAAGCCTTAGCAGGATTCGGCCGTCCACCGAGTTTTCTGGCGCTACAAAGCTAAAGAACTCTTTCGATTTTGCATCTCCACATAAAGTTTAGCATGCAGCTCGGGTCCACATCAGGTACACTGCCTTCCCTTGACTGCACGACACTACCCAAAGTATGCTAATCCACGGAATCTGTGAACGACACCCAAGGGGAATATTTCATTAGGATGTTCAAGACCGGAAAAAGGAGGACCCAAAACATAAATTCAACATGAAGACGCCCCCCCCCCCTAACCGTAAGCCATTCCAACGAACAGGAACTTCGGAATAACACTTGAAAAAATCGCTCTGCTGCAGCATCATTTCGGTGCCTAGCTGCCACGCCAACGGAGGAATGCTGGATAGGGCCAGGTTGCCCAAGCCAAGACAAGAGCAGTCAGGATGTTGAGGTTGGGTTCGATCCACGGACCAACCGGCCAGTAAGTTTGCGCCTTAGCCACTAAGCGATTTCGAGAATGACACCCAAGGTATTCTCGTGTTCTTGATATCCAGCCAACAGCATAACAGCTACATTATACTAGCTGCCCGCAGTGGTGCAACCAGCTGTAATATTTGAAAAATCACCTGGATTTCCTACGGCGTCGACCGCGTATTTACATTAAGGGTGACGTAAGCCCAATTGCTGGAATACCACTTTATATTCGAGTTTCGGAAACGCAACAAACGTCTATGATAACGCATCAAAAAACCGTAGAACAGCTGGTTAATATCTAGCTTCGTCCAGACTTCGAACACCACAGACTGAAATAAAAACGGAGGAAAATGGTTTGCTTGTTGGATGAGAAGTGACAGATGTGGGCAGTGATGTACGATCGTATCTTCCTGACATGCGAAGGAAGCACGAGGAGCTGAGATACTGCCAGGTTGCTCAAGCCTAGACTAACTGACACTACGGAGGAAGGTCGGCTCAGGCTAACAAATATGGGAGAAATTAGCGGTCGTGTTCGCGGTTACCTACCCGGCTATAAGTAGCGAATAAGGCGAACCGCCTGAAGTCAGCACGAGACGGTCAATATGACAAGAAGGCACTTTTGTTTCTGCATACTGCATTCACTTTAGTCTTGTCTGAAGAGTCCCTCTCCCGTTCGCGTGCAACTGTCATGATAAGTCCACAACAAACTAGATTCCAAGCACAAGATTCCAGTTTCGCCCTAATTGAAGTGTATCAACAGTGAATACCCTTGGCCGTGTCGGGATGTGAACCTCGGACAGACGAGTTACCAAAAGTCCACCAATCCCGTCACTCACCTAACCGTAGCTCTGTATCTAAGCTTCTGCCCAGCAAAATAAACCAAGAGGAACCATTATTAGGTTCAAGGGGTGTTTCACGCTGCAGCACTTAACGTGTATAGTGTCAAACTGGGCGGAAGGCAGCTATTGATTAGACCTTGTTTTCTATTCCGGTCGATGTAGACAGTTTGCGGAAACACACAAGCGACCCAAGTTCGGTCATCCATCTCCAACCTCTTGGGGCGAACCTAATTCATCCCGACGCCGTAAACGGTTTGTTTGTTGTCAGCATACCCCCGACAGAAGGTAGCTTAGGTTGACGAAGACAGCTCCTATCGATGTCCGCCACGGTTACTTCGGTTCGCAAGATGTACAAATGTGACTCCGGCAGGTCATATGAATTTTCACGTTGGTCTGAGAAAGCCCATATTGGTAGTCGATCCAGGGTTGATGCTCACCGCACAGATAATGGGGGGTGGGTTTTTCATATATATGCTGACAATCACTTACTTCGAGCCATCACAAGCTTTCAACACAAGGGTTCACACCGTGTAAATCGAAAGCTATCAACTGCAAGCCAGCCGCGGACTCCCTTGGACCATGCAAAAATAAGCTATAAGTGGAGAGCTTTATAACAAGACGGTCCTTAATTTAACGGCACGTTTGACTTTGATCACGGCATCGTGCGGGCAGGCGTATCTATTGGCTTCTCCTCTTAGATACATCAGTTGATGCGAAGGCATTTAGTCCGTCACGAGGAGACTCGAACTGCTGTGACGGTTTGCGCACTCAGCGACCCAGAACTATGCTGGGGTGGTCTCTGCGACTGTCTCTCATACCTGGTTGGTCAATGGGTAGAATTCCGGTAAACACAGACTTCTGGTCCTCCAGATTGGGAGTTGTAACATGTGACGACTCGTCCCGTTGGAATGGTACTGTTTTTGCGGATGGATACCTGTTAGCAGTCGCCTCCATGCGGTTCGGTTGGCAACATCTGTGATATAGCTAGAGGAAGTGACGTCCATCGCACCCTGTTTACTGTGCCTGTTTACAACTGTAGCTCTGAGCCTGCCAAAGAGTTTCAATGACCTTCTGGGTGCTCTTTTACAACGGGTCAAAGGCTCAGATATAGTCGTTGTTGCTAGTGACATTAACGCTCGAGTGGGCGGACTAAGCTCTTCGTTTATAAGGGCTTTATGGGCATACTTCCGTGGACGTATCTACGGCGAACTCGCACCTAAGTTACCCAATTCAAGTGGTGTCAGGTAAGGGTGTTCTGTCGATCTTCCTCTTTAATGCGGTCTTTGATATGGCGTTTGAGTCATCTTCACCTATTTGACACTGGGGGATTCGAAATACGCCAGGAGCGTTTACTCACGGACATTCAGCCCAAACGATAGTGCTCCCGTTGGATAAAACCCTCTAGAAATGCGAACTATTTCTAGTAACCTAAATATTCTGGTGGACAGTTCAACATCACCTCGGCAACTGTAAAGTGCAGTCTTGCTGCAAGATTGGTGGGTGGACAGATCGATTTTACAGGTAGGTTCATAGAATTGGGCAGCTGCATAAGTCCCGGAGGTCTGGTGGAATATGAAATCACTTAGCGAGTTGGGAAAGACCGGGTTGCGTTTGCCAGTTCAGCTTGACGATGAAGAGTAGGGTACAATGTTGCGATCCGACCTTTCGTATTTTATGGATAAGAGATGTGTTCACCGAGTGCGGAAGATCTCTGTGGAGTGTTTGACCACTAGTGCCTACCGTTTACCTCATAGCGCACTCTACGCGTATCCTTATATCGGATGGAGATGACGGAGAGGCATTCAGTCCAATATGACGACGCATGGAAGCCCTTACCAGTCAATTCAGTCACGCTAGTACCTGTCACTTACTGGTTGTGGACTGCAGGACAAGTCAGCCTAGCACGTCAGACTATTGAGTCGCCGGCTCCGGGCAGGGTCTCCAAAGAAAACCCTACATTTTCCCACTGCCCCGTGGGTCAGA